TTATCTCGCCCCCTATATTTTTATATAATATAAATAATTCAAAATCAAAACATTAACCTTCGATTTACAACGAAGAACATGTTTACAACTGAATTTTCTCGCCCCCTATATTTTTATATAATATAAGTACTTTAAAAACATAACATTAACCTTTGATTTACAACGAAGAATACGTTTACAACTGAATTTTCTCGCCCCCTGTATTTTTTTTTTTTTTTGATTAACCTGGATATCCAACCCGTTATGCGAGCCGACTAATCCCAGGGTGACCACCTGCTTTGCAGATAGCCCGGAGTCACTGCATTTGAACCTCCGTGGCCACAAGGGGATTTTTATTTCTCATTCGATTTGAACCTGATACCTTCTGATACTTTTGATTTTTAAAACCAAGCTCAAACCAATCAGGCACGACCCTTGTATTTTTATATAATAAACAAGTGACGTAAATCATTGTTTGAAACTATAGAGACAGATTTGAGTTGCACGTTAAGCATAAAAAATTGTACGTCTTTTGGGTTTTTGAAATTTGAATTCGATTCCTCTTTCTCTGTCTTCACTCGCCATTTCACATCCACTTCAAGCTGCTGCTTCTTCTTCTTCTTCATCTTCTTCATCTTCATGGCTGCCTGGTAAATTCTTGATTTCTTTTTTATCTTTTGACCTAATTTTAGCTTCAATCAATCTCAAGATTCTCACTGATTTCTTTCTAGCAATGCATTTGAAACTTAAATTTTCAGCATTTCATGGGGAAAACTTTTGTTTCGAAGATCAAATGCTGGTTTATTTTTCTCGAATTCATTTGTGAATTAGTTTTTATTCATTTTGAATGCGCTTTCTAATTTGCAAATTGGTGTTTTAGGATCGAATCGTTTGTGGGTTTATAACTTATTTATGGTTTAATTTTGGGGGAATGTGATTTGTGAGATGGAACCTTTCATGGGTATTTCTCATATTTCTTCCCCTTTCATTATTTAATCCTTGTATGTGCTTTCTCGTTTTAGAAATTAGGGTTTTAAAGATCAAATCATTGGTGGGTATTCCATAATCTTCCAAGAAAGTTACTGTTTAATCTTTGGTTGTAATAAGTTTGAAAGGATTTCGATGGATTGAATGCGATATGAAGTATTAACTATTTTGTGTTTGTTCTTACAGAAGCAACAACTTTTAGTTTTTTCTGAGCATTTCAAATGATTGCAAGAAACTAATAACTTTGAGGTATGCATTTCATCTGCATAAGATTTGATGCATAAGAATCGTGAAATGATCGAATTTGTTCCATTGTTATGCTTCAATGGTTCTTGAATTTTGTTTGAATTTGAACTGACCACCAACTGTTTGATAATTGACCTCAGAGAGAATGGACTCCTTACCTGATGCTGTTATCCAATACATTTTGTCACATTTAAGCAATGCCAAAGACGTAGCATCGTGTAATTGCGTCTCGAAGAAGTTTAAAGACTCAATGCCTTATGTAACGAGCCTTTACTTCGCACGTAGCGTCTTTGATAGCCTAACAAACGGTCAAGATCCCGACTCCGTTATAATGCAGATGGTCTCTTCGATTTCCCGATTGGAAGAGCTCGTGGTTTACTGCCCGTTTACCGGTTCTGGGCTGGCCTCGTGTGTCTTACTCGCGGGTTCTTCGTTAAAAAGTCTCGAGCTCCGAATGGATAATCTTGTTGATCAGAATATGGGTAATGATAGTTTGTTTAAACTCGAATGCATTCAAGCTGCAAAAAATCTCGAGTCTTTAAGACTTTGGGGTGTGTTCATGGTGCGTGCTCCGAAGTGGGACACGTTTCGAAAACTGCGGAATCTTGAAATCGTTGGAGCAAAATTGGAGGATTCGGTGTTGGTTGAGGCTCTTCGAGCGACTCCTAACCTTACCCAACTTGTGCTTCTTGGTTGTGAGGGTTTGAGGACGGTTTCAATTGAGCTTCTCGAGCTCGAGCATTGTAGACTTGATTTTTACGGTTCGGGTAGTTGTTCGCTCACGCTCAAAGCTCCGAAACTCGAAGACCTTCAAGTTCAAGGGTGTTGTTGGATTAGAGTTCGTGAGACGAGTTGCTTGAAGTATCTTTCGATCTCGAACAATGCTGGTAAGATTAAAGATTTATCGTATTCCTGAATCAAACTTTGATGGTTATGTCGTATTCGGGGCCTCATCATCATTTGTACCGTTGGAGTCCCACATCCGTTAGATATGGACTATCATACTTGTATGTGTGTGTATATATATATATTTATATATATATATATATATGACAGATCAAATGATAACCGCAAATATCTTACAAATCTGCGAACCAGTATATGAAACAACGCATGTGAAACATGTGTTGTTCATTCAGTGTTGTTTCATGTATGAAACATTCAAGACTGTCTATGTGTGAAAAAAACACGAAAATCCGTTTCATATATGGAACACACATAAAAGAAAAAGAATGTGTGAAACATAGCTTAAAATCAAACTCGTTGAACGGTTTGGATTGGTTTTCACAGGTTTGTACCGTATTTGCGGTTTTCATTTGATTTTCACAGTATTGTTACCAAGGTGTTCCTCAGTTTTTCATTTCACATATCTTGAACGTGTATAACAGGCAGGATATCGAGATATGATTTTGGGTCTTATTGGTTGCAGGGAGAATTTACATGGTGGACTTCGGTAAGCTCGTGGCACTTGAGTCGTTAGCGATTAGAGGCGTTCAATGGTGTTGGGACGCAATACACAAAATGCTTCAACTCGCAACCGAAGTGAAACATCTCTTCATGAAAATAGAATTCACCGGAGATTTCGAAGCTCTTCTCCCGTTTCCCGAGATCGATTTCGTCGACTTCTTCAAAACTCATCCGAACCTCAAATCATTCGACATCCATGGTGCAATGTTTGCTGCCCTCTGCCAGAAAAATAGTCTAAAGAACGTAAGTCAGAACGACCGTTATCGTTCGATTTCAGTAAGTACAGAGAATTTATTTATTCAATCTCTAACGAAAATCAAGAAATCTTGATTCGTGGATCATGTTTGCGCTGGGTTTTTCCGCAGGTGGATTCGAGTTTCGTGATCCCGTGGCTTGAAGAGGTTGTGATCACGGTGAGATCGCCTTTGAACGTCGAGCAGAAGATGAACACGCTCGAGTCGTTGGTGAAGTTTGCGAAGAATTTGAAGAAGATGAAGATCAAGATTCTTCAAATGAGAAGTGGGCACAGCAGTGCTGATGAGTTTTTTGAAGAGATTTGCAGGTTTAGACTCATGAATTATAGCTTAATCTCAATAGAGTAAAATTTATGTTTTTCTTAATTGAATCAGCTCCATAATCAGATGTTATGATTCTTGCTTATTGTAGAACTTTGATTTCCCTTGAAGTCTTGTGTCTTTATCTATGTGGTTTCAAGAAGCCTGGCCCTCCAAGCTTGTTTTCATTAAGCTGGACTTTCGGGTTGAAATAGGGTCCGATCGGGCTTTTTCAGGCTTAAGCGGGCTTTTTTTGTCCCCAAAATTTTAGCCCGATTAGGCTTTGAGATAGAGATGACCAAAAACAAATCCCGGTCCCATTCTAATCGGTTCCGATCCCGGTCCTGAACAAAAAAAATCACTTGGCTTTTGGTTCGCAATGGAATTGGAATGTTGAATTCCATTCCCTCGTTCGGTTTATTCTTTTTCGGAAAATGAATCTTCAAAATCTATTGAATTCCATAAATAAGGGATTTAAACGTTCCCAGGCAATAAGGTGGTATTTTGATGGAATGGAATGTTTTAATTTCATAATCCCAAATAACCCATTAACCCTATCTATATCTATACTACATTATAAAACATTAGACTAAAACTTTTAAAAACAATTTTGTATGTATAAAGTACTGTATATTGATGCATATTA